CCTCTGCTGTTTCCAATGCCTGACCTGTCTCATGCACCATTGCCTTCTGGCTCCCCTCTGCCTGCTCCTCCTCGTTACTCTCCGTTGACCGACTCCCCGACCGAGTGTCGGGAGCCTGCGTCTCGTCCTACCTCACCTATTGTTCGTGTTCGTGCTCCTCCTGTTCCCACTACGCATACGATGGTGCTTCGTCCTTCCTCTGTTTTGCAACCTGTTGTCCTGCCGTTTCGTCCCCCGTCTTCTCTTTCTGACGTTCCTGACCCTGTGTCTGGCCTTGCTCATGCCAGTCCGACTGTCACTCGTTGTCTTGCCACACTTGTCAGCTTTTTTGTCAGCTTCTGCGTCTACCTTGGTCGCTGTGCTCACTGACTTTGCTGCTACGTGCTGCCTTGACTACCTTGCGGGTCTGGTTTCTGACTCTGCCTGTCCTACGTCCGTCGGGGGTGAGCTTACCTTGGCTGTGACGTCATTGAGGACAGGCAGTTCGAGCTTGAGTACCTCGCGGCTGCTGTTCCTCATCTCGCTGCCATGTTGCTTGCTCCTAAGGGAGACCCGGATGCACTTGACATCCTGATCCCTCGCTCTTACGCAGAGGCGATCACGGGTCCTTACTCATCTCAGTGGAAGACACCAGAGATGGCTTCCTAGAAGTCCACTGGCACCTACTTCGACGCAGTCCCACCACCTCGGGCGAACGTCGTCAGTGGCATGTGGACCTTTAGGGTGAAGCGGTCGTCGGGTTCACCGCCTACCTTCAAGGCGCGTCATGTTGCACACGGGTTCAGTCAGCGTGAGGGGGCAGGCTTCTTCCAGACCTTCTCCCCTACCCCGAAGATGACGACTCTTCGGGTGTTGCTGCACGTTGCAGCACAGCGTGACTATGAGCTGCACTCGCTCGACTTCTCGACGGCCTTCTTGCAGGGCAGCCTCCACGAGGACATCTTGCGGCGCCGCCCACCTGGCTTCACTGGGTCGTTTCCTGAGGGTACCCAGTGGAGTCTCCGGCGGCCAGTCTACGCTCCGCGGCAGGAGCCCCGCGAGTGGCACGACTCACTGAGGACGACACTTGCGGCTCTTGGCTTCGCTCCCTCGACTACTGACTCGTCCCTATTTCGGCGCACAGACCCTGCTTTACAGCCGTTCTACATCCTTGTGTACGTCGACGACTTGGTCTTTGCAACTGTTGACTGTGAGGCACTGCCCCTGGCTAAGGCAGAAGAGACACACCTGCACTGATTTGGGTGAACTGCGAAGCTATCTTGGTTTGCAGATCACCCGGAACAGAGCAGCGCCCATCATCACTCTGACTCAGTCACACATGGTGCAGCAGGTCCTTCTGCGCTTCGCCTCCAGTTCTCCTCGGCACATCCCACTCCTCTGCCTACGGGCCACACCCTCTCAGCTCCACCTTCGGACAAGTCCGTAGAGCCTAGAGGTCCGTATCAAGAGCTTGTGGTTTGCCTCACGTACCTGATGACGTACACTCGGCCTGACATCGCGTACCCTTTCAGCATCCTGGCTCGCTACGTTGCGTCTGGGAGACACTGCCTTGAGCACTGGCGGGCTGCTAGGAGGGTGCTGCGCTACTTGGCCAGTACATCGGGCTTGGGGCTTGTGCTTGGGGGACAAGGTCCAGTTGTGCTCACATGGCACTCAGACGCTTCGTGGGCTGGCGACTAGGCGACTTCCCGGTCTTCACAGGGCTACACTTTCAGCCTCGGTACTGGCTCTGTCTCGTGGAGGTCCACTCGCTCGTCTTCTGTGCTCAACTCCAGCTGTGAGGCCGAGATCTACGCTGTGGCTATGGCTGCGCAGGAGTTACACTGGCTGACCTACTTGCCCACCGACTTGAGTGAGCAGACTCGCTCTGCACCGGTTCCGTACGCTGACAACAAGGCCATGATCACCTTGTGTCAGGAGCAGAGACTCGAGAGCCGAACGAAGCACATTGCCCTTCGTTACTTTCTCGTGCGAGAGTTGCAGCACGTGGTCAACTTCGCCTTTCTTACGTGGCCTCCGAGACCAGCACTCCCGATATCTTCATAGAGGCCCTTGGGTCTAGTGATCATCCGTGTTTCTGCACTGCTCTTGGCCTTGTCCCTACTCTGTCTCACTTGCTTGCCTCTTGATCTCGTTTTTTGCACTTGCTGTACTCTGATATATGTGTATACCTGCATGTGTACACTTGCTAGGTTGTGATCATTGTACTGCTTTTGTTATTATAACTGTCAAATTAGTAGGTGAACCTAGGCTTAGGAGAAACCCTATCCAAGGTGAATGTCGAGAGGAGGGAGAGAGAGTAGCAGAAAAGGGTGGTTGCACTATAGAATTGCAAGTACAAATAGATGAGAAACATGCAAGGGGAGGTGCACCACAAGCAGGAAATCATAATGCCTACACTACAACTACAAGCAGTTATAAAATATGTAAACATATTTCGACACGCCCCCATGATTGCTTGTAGGAAGAAGTGTAGTTACGCCCCCTGAAGAGGTACACCACGCGCAGTGGAAGACGGCAAGGAGGTAAATGAGGAGGAGGAGACGAGAGAGAGAGAGGGGAGAGGAGAGGAATGAGGAGAGGAGGTGGGGGGAGCCACGCGGCGAGCCCCTCTTATGAACCCCCGTTTTACAAAGGGGGGGGGGGGGTGAGAGAGGGATGAGGAGAGGAGGTGGGGGGAGCCACGCGGCGAACCCCTCTTACTAACCCCCGTTTTACTAAAGGGGGAGGGTGAGAGAGGGAGGAGAGGAGGTGGGGGGGAGCCTAGCGCGGCGAGCCCCTCTTACTAACCCCCTAATTCCACGCCCCCTTTCAGCCACCCCCCTCAACCTCACCCCCCTTGTCAACCGCCCCCTGGAACCTCACACCTTCCCCCCACCCTTCCTCCAACGCCTTCCCCACCCACGGTGGTCCCTGCTCAAGCCTTCACACGGCGGCCAGAAACCCGCCACCCCCTCACCCTTCCCCCCACAGCGGCACGTGCGGCAGTGAGAGAGAGAGGAGGTGGGGGGACAGCTGGGTGCTCACACCCGCCACCCCAAACCCACCCCCCCCCACTGTTGCACGCGCAGCTGGGAGAGAGAGGGGAAGGCGAGCGGTAGCGGCAGTAGCTCCTCCCGTCACTCCCACCACTCCACCCTCTCCACCCTCCCCCCCCACAGCAGCAGCTGCGGCCGTGAAAGAGAGAAGAGGAGGGTGGTGCTGTTGGTGCCACCTCCCCCTTACACCCCCTCCCCCTCCCCCCAAACTGCTGCACACGCAGTAGGGAGAGGGAATAGAAGGGAGGGGGGGGCGAGGTGTGCGATCTGGTGGGGCGGGCGCGGGCGGGCAGGGCGCACGAGGCGCCGGGCAGAGGCGCACGAGGCGCCGAGCAGAAACCGCCACTGAAGCAGGAGCAGCAGGGGGGGAAAGGAGAGGCGGAGGGGGGGGGGGGGGGGGGGGGGGGGGGGGGGGGGGCTGCTGGCTTGGTGACGAAGCAGAGCAGCGGGGCGCTGGAGGTGCAACCACCCCCCACCGCCACTCCTGCGTCCCCCCAACACCCCCCCCCCCCCCCCCCAAACTGCTGCACGCGAAGCAGGAGAGGGAGGAGGAAGTGGGCGCCGGGGACGACGGGAAGCAGGGCAGCGGGGCCCCCGCGCGACGGGCAGAAAACCGTCGCACGCTGGGGGCGAGCGACGGGCAGAACACCGTCGCGTGCTGGGGGCGCGCGACGGGCAGAAACCGACGCACGCTTGGGGCGTGCGACGGGCAGAAACCGCCACGCGCTCGGGGCGTGCGACGGGCAGAAACCCGCCGCGCGCCCGGGGCGCACGTCGAGCAGAAACCGCCGCGCGCCCGGGGCGCACGACGAGCAGAAACCGCCGCGCACCCGGGGCGCACGACGAGCAGGAAACCGACGCACGCCCGGGGCGCGCGACGGGCAGAAAAGAGGCGCATTGGCGGAAGCTAACGGTGGGCCCATTAGGTCTTAGGAGCTTAAATGCTCTGATACCATGTCAAATTAGTAGGTGAACCTTGGCTTAGGAGAAACCCTAGCCAAGGTGAATGTCGAGAGGAGGGAGAGAGAGTAGCAGAAAAGGGTGGTTGCACTATAGAATTGCAAGTACAAATAGATGAGAAACATGCAAGGAGAGGTGCACCACAAGCAGGAAATCATAATGCCTACACTACAACTACAAGCAGTTATAAAATATGTAAACATATTTCGACAATAACACTGCATGTGAACTGGCCTTGTGACCGCTTGCTTGTGCTCGGACTGTGTGGTGATATTGAGATCTACAATGAGCGTTGTTTTGTTGCTAATCTTGATAGGTCTTGTGACCGTTTGTTTCCCTTGCTTGTTTTGATGCCCCTCACTTCGCCTATGGGGGTGTGTCAAATGTTATTATAGGTTCTTAGGCTACAGTGAGTAGCACTCTAGGGAGTACAACCCTTTTATGGTTGCATGCTTGTATCCCATCTTGCTAGTCACAAACCATTCCGCTGTTTCAGTTTCTAACAAGATATGATTGATTCCGGGGCTCCTTGCGTCGACTGCGGACATTCTGTCGTCCAGCCTATGCCCAACCTCGATTCCTTGCGGTTCCTGCCTTGCTAGGGTTCCTGCTATGTTACCGCTGGGCCTTCATTTTGATTGGAAGTTCATTAGCTTCTTTATATAATTTTGCACAAGCTATTTAACAACTCATAACAATCTACTAAATTGTGCAACATGATCAGTTCGTATTACCGTTAAACCTTGGCGAATTGTCATCGTTTCGTTCCCGTCCCAGCCCAACCCAGACCAGGCTGCCTTGCCATGCCACATCCTTGAATTTGTACGGTGGCATCACTGGCCTTCCCATCACGCATGCAGTCTAGTAGCATCTTATTCTCCAACAGCAGCGCGTTTACAACAAGCTTTCCATGATTTTTCCAATTCCAGGCGCTAGCTCCTTTCGTCCCCTCTCCATGTCTCCTCTATCTCCCTCCTTCACGTGTGTCCTCACCGCCCCGCCATGGCCACTTTGAGTCTCGCCCGTTGCCCCGCGGACATAGCCGGCGCGAGCATCGTATCGGCCGACGTGTCCGCGGACCTCAGGCTGCTAGCGGCGCACCTGCCGTGCGGCGATGTTGCAGTCTGCGCTCTCGGCAGCCCCGTGCGCCCCGCTGCTGCCACCACCCACGTTCTCTTCCGCGATCGCGCCGACCCCGCGGACGCAGATGCCCCTCCTCACGCGCCCTCGTACCATCGCCGCCTCGCATGGCTGTGCCCGCGGCAGCAGCCGGGCGAGCCATGCGATCAGGGCCAGTCGCACGATCGAATTCTCGTGCTGCTCAGGCCCAGCCGTGTGTCGCTGTACGCGATAAGAGCAGGCACGAGCCCCTTGTCGGGGAATCCCATACCGGCTGCGTCAGTGCAGGCCAGGCGCGTGTCCGACGGCAGGGCGGGCGTGCGAGTGGTGTTCTGGCCGGGGGACGCGCACGAATCCTCCTCCGCTCGCGGCGCCAACGATGCGCTGCACCTGGCGAGTGGCGCAGCAGACGGCGCGGGGGAAGCTGGCAGATGGGAGCAGTTGGCGGGGGGAGGGGAGGCGGCAGCGCACATGAGCATGGGCGCGGGTTCGCGCATGGGGTTCAGCATGAGCGCGTGGCATGCACACTTCGATTCCGCGCCCTGGCACAGCCTGCTGGCCGCCTGTGGCGTCATGGCGGCTGGCGAAGGCGGTAGAGAGCAGGCGCACAGCAGCGGAGAGGCGAGCATGCAGGGCAGTGGGAGCGAGGGCGGGGCGTGGGGGTGTGCGGTGGAGCAGGTGGTGGCGGTGGGGGTGGAGGCGGACCCGCATGCCTCGCACCTCGCGCTGCTGCTCACGTCGCGCCAAGCATACTCGCACATGTGCCTCTCTCCCTCTGCGCTGCGCTGCCAAGCCCCCCTGCCAGCACACAGCAGCGTGCTTGTGCTGGCCGTGGCAGGGGGAGCGAGCACGGACAACGGGAGGCAGGGGACACAGGGCGATGCGGGTGGTATGGTGGAAGAGCAGTGGCGCGGGGTGCAGGGGGAGCAGGGGCGCGGGGCGGGTGCTGTGGTGCGCGTGCAGTGCTGCATCCACCTGCATGCGGTCACGGGCGCACAGCATGGGGCGGGCGCCATGTGGAGTGCCGTGAAGCTGCAGGGCGCCGTGCTGTGCGCCGTGCAGCCATGGGGCGCTGCTTTCACGTGGAGCGCTGCCTCTGGCCGCCCCCTGCACTCCCTGCTCCTCACCCCCGCCGGGCCCACGCCTCTTGCGCCCACTCACGCCTCTGCCCCTCCCCATGCGCTCCACCTGCATGGCGCTGATGCCAGTGCAAGCAGTCGCAGCAGTGAGAGCAGTCACAGCTACCCGCCCATGGATGACACGCACTGTTCGCTTGGCGTGGCGGCGGGTGGGATGGGTGACGTGGTGGGAGTGGTGCTGGGGTGGCAGGGCGCGCTGCTGTGTGCCGTCACCACCACGGGCCTCGTGCTCACTGCGTTGCTGCGTGCGCCACCGCCTCTCCCTGCACCTCTCGCCCCTGCCATGCGCTCTGTGCTGCTGTGCAGTCCTCTGGCGTCAGGCCGCCTGCTGCTGGGGCTCGTGCATGCAGACAGGCCAGGGCCAGGGGAGGGCAGCACTGCCGTGCTCACATTGGCCGTGCTGCACTCGCCTCACACGCCCCACCATTCCCTCCCAGACGCTGCTCCTCACCCTGCCGCCGATGCAACCTGTCCAGCACCAAAGGCACGTGTCGCTGTCTATTCCTTCCCGCTTACAGTCCCCCACAACCACGCGCCCACCACCCACACCCCTCTTGCACCCGCCCTGCCGTCTCTCTCGCTGCCCTCCCCCGCCCTGCCACTGCTCTCCTGCCACCGCCTGCTCTGTCTCTCCAACGACCGCCTGCTCCTCCTCCTCCCCGCCCGCCTGCCCTCGCCCCTGCACCTCTCCTCATCAGCGCCCCTCTTCCCCATGTGCCACCTGCCCCGCTCGTGCCTCCCCTCACCCCCACCCGCCGCTGCTCTTAGAATGTCCCCCACTCTGGCAGCCCTGCAGCTGGAAGGTGTGCCCTCCCCGGCACCTTGTGGTGGGGGCGAGCAGCAGGAGGGGGGAGAGAGGGTGCAGAGAGGAGGACATTTTGCAAGTGTGGTGGTGGGGGGGAGTGGTGTGGTGGAGAGGTGGGTGGGGGCGGAGAGGCAGGAGGAGGCGTGGGTGTGCAGTGTGAGTGAGGCCATGGGGGCGGTGATGGCGATAGAGGGCGATGTGATGAACAGGGAGGACCTGGGCGGCACTGCCTTCCTTGCCCTGCTGCACCACACCGCACACGCCAACGGTACCAACCCTGCTCTTCTCACCTCACCTGTGCCCGCAGAGCAGCAAGTTGCTCTTTCAGCACGCCAACGTCCTGCTCTTTGAGCCACACCCTGTCCCCATGGACTCATCACACTGCTTGTCTCCGCTGTGTGTGTTCTGCCATGCAGGCTGGCCGGACTCGTGTCTTGTGTTGCAGCATGTGCGCCTCTGCCTCGACCTCATGTGCCCTGCGCCCTCCGTTGTCAGGTGCGTCACTTCTTTTTCAACCCACACCCCCTCTCTTATCCCACTCCAAGAGTCCTTTTCTGCCCATCCATCTCTGCGTCTTTACCACTCATCCTCATCCTGTTCATCCCTTTCCCTATCTGTGTATGTGTGCGTGTGTGTGTGTGGGCATGCAGGCTGCTCTTCCTGCTGCACGGCATCAGTGCCCCCCTGCAAGTGAAGGCCTTCCACTGCCTGCTCTCCTACCTCATCGCACACCTCCCCCTCGCGCGCTTCTCGCGCTCCCACGCCAGATACACCTCCAGGTATGTCCCCTCGCGCGCACCCACACGGGCCTGCATGGCGTGCCGAGACCTTGCTGGGGCAGGACCCTCTGCCGTTGCCACACGCCATGCTGCACCACCCTTGTCACTGCAATCCTAAGCCTCTTGCTGATTCGCCTCATCTGCGCCTCTCCAATCGTCCCGCCTCCCTCCTACCCCCCCAGTCTGCTGGCGCATGCCATCCGCGCGCTGCTGCAGGCCCTCCTGCTGCACTACCACACGGCGCCCGCCTCGCCCCACAGGGCTCGCCGCCCCCACTCCTCACTGCGCCCGCGCACACCAGCAGGAGCAGGCAGGCACGGGGGTGTGGTCAAGGGCGAGAAGGGGAGAGGGGGAGGGAAGCGGAGGCAGGGTGAGGGGGAGGCGGGGAGTGAGGAGCAGGCGGTGCAGAGGGCGAGCATGGAGGCGCTGTCTGACGTGCTGCTCACTCTGCGCCGCCTGCACACCGCCGCCACTCGCCTCGCTGCCCACCATGCTGCTCCCTCTGCCGCCACCGCTGCCCCCACCAGCACTGCAGGCGGCGCTGCAGAGAGCAGTGGCTCAGCAGGGGGAGTGGGAGGTGGCGCGGAAACGCAGTCAGGGATGCTGTTGCTGTGCGCCCCGCATGCAGAGGTGAGGATGGCAGGCCGCATGCAGGGGCGCTGGGTTGCCATGTGCGCGTGGGAACGAGGTCCTTGTGTGCCATGCCACCCACCTTGCGCTCATGCACTTGCCTTGCCTTCCATGTCAACCCCTCCCACCCGCCATGCAGGCTGCGCTTCCATCTGGGCCAATGTACGCTCGCTTGCCTCCTCCCCACCATCCTCCCTCCTTCCTCATGCCCCACCCACTCCCCGACCATCTTTCAGTCCCCTCCTCTCTCCTCACCTCGCAACCGCCCCACCAACCCACCACCCTCGCCACGTCCCCTGCCCAGCCGCTCGCCCTGCCGCCACCACCCAGTGCTGCACCCCCCATGGACATTCTCCCCCACCAGCTGCCAGTGCTGCCCCCTTATAGCGCGCCAATGCGGGCATGGATGGAGGGGGGCGAGCAGGAGAGTGTGCGGGCGATGCTGCAGCGGTGGCAGCAGCAGCAGAGCCCCTCGCAGGTGGTGGTGTGTGACGCCATCGCTGCCTGCCGCCTGCCCCTCGCCACCGCCTTCCTGCACCACCGCCTGCTGCACCCCCCACGCACACGCACGCAGCAGCCCCTCATCCAGGGCACAGGTGGTGAGCAGCACAAGGCGGTGGAGGAAGAGGAGGATGACACAGACGCAGGAGAGGAGGGAGGGGCAGAAGCAGAATCGGATGGGAGGGAAGCAGGGCGGGAGGAGGCAGGGCGGGCGGGCAGGGAGGAGGCGGAGCATGTGGTGCAGGTGGAGGGGCGCAGGCTGGCGCTGGCGTTCCTATGGCAGGGGCATGCGGGCATGGCAGCGCAGGTGCTGCTGCGCCTGGGCGCTCACGTGCACGCGTCGCTGCTGGACCTGCTGCTGCGCTCCTTCTCCTCCCACCTGCGCCACGTGCTCTCACACTACCTGCACCTCCACCACCTGCTGCCGCCCCCCCTCCTGCACTCCCTCGCCGCCACTCAAGCCATCCAGGTAACCACCAGCCACGTAAACTGGTGAACCACTTGCCACGGCATGTACACGATCTGAGGCGCCCCAGTAGTATCACCACTCACCCATGGGGTGCTGGCCTCTTGATGCCCCGTGCCATGCGCTCATGCTCTTGCGCGTCTCTTGAAACCCCTTCTCCCCACTCCCTCCCTCCCTCCTACAGGACATGTACCCCCTGCGATCCTTCACCTCCGCATATCGCCTGCGCCGCGCCTGTGCCCCCGCCTCGCTGCAACCCCGCCTTGCCACGTGCGCCGCACCCAATGCGCCCCCCGGCACTGTCCCAGACTCCGCACCCGAGGGGGGGCGTGCAGCCGCGGACTCAGGGGGCGGGGGGGAAGCATGTGAAGCAGGGGGGCAAGGTGTAACAGATGCGGGTGGGGAGAGTGTGGTGGATGAACGTGGGGTGGATGGTGGGGCGGGGTGGAGAGTGGACGTGGGTGTAGGGGGTGTGGAGTGTGGGGAGTGTGGTGGGGGGGTGATTGGAGGCAGCTGGGGTAGCCTGGTGGCGCTGGTGCCCGCACAGGGAGGGCAACGGGGGAGGCAGGGCGTGGAGGCGTGGGGCGAAGGTGCAGGGGGTGGGGAGAAGGAGAAGATGGAAGCAGAGGGCGTGGGTGAGGAGGAGCAGAGCAGGGTGAAGGCGGGTGATGATTTGAGCGTTGTGGTGCGGCACGGGTTTGCATGTGTGGCGACAGCATGGGTGCAGCACTGGGACTCTGCTCTGCTGCTGCAGGTCAGCATGCCACACCTTCCTCCATGCACCACACGCACTCGCTCCGCTCAAGTCACTCGCATTCACTTTGTCCTTTCCTTCGCCTTCACTTATGGTGCTGCATTCTCCACTTCTATTGCGCCGGCCCGTATCGTTGCTTCGCCTCCCTCCTATCCACCTCTGCATGTGACACGCCACTCACACAAGTACTGCATGGGTCACCCAGCTCTCCCCCTCTTTCTCCCCCGCCGTTGCAGGTGCTGGCAGAAGGAGCTTTCCTCGCCTCATCTCCCACTCCCTCCGTTTCCTCCTCTTGTTCGCCCACCTTTTCCTCCTCGGGCGCCTCGTCCGCACTCACGGCCCTGCATCACATCCTAGCCACGCACCGCCTGCACATCCCACCGTCACTGCCTGCTTCTCCACCACCCTCGCCTGCATCACTGGTGGCGCGGGAGGCTGTGATCTCCTTGTCCCTGCGCCACCACCTCCCTGCCCTCCTCTCCTCCACCCTGCACGCCCTCCCTCCCACCTCCCTCGCCCGCTCGCCCATCACTGCTGCCTTGCACCGCCCTCCACATTACTCTCTTACCACCTCCACCGCCCCCACACGCCCCTGCATGTGCGTGCCAGTGGTGTTGGCAGCAGCAGTGCTCGAACCAACCACAGCTTTGCTTAGGGCGGAGGTGGACGGGGTAGGGGGCAGTGCAGATGGCAGGGGCAGCAGTGGTTTCATGCGCAGGGCGTTGGAGGAGCAGCTGGCGGCGCAGGGAGTGCTGCTGACCGCCCACTGGCGCCACCCCTTGCCCCTCCTGCGCCTCCTCGCACGCGCCCACATGCTGCTGCCACCCAAGGGCCATGCTGGGGGGATTGCGGGCGGCGGGGTGGAGGAAGCAGGGGGAGTGGATGGTGTGGGTGCAGGGAGGCGTGGGGATGTGGGTGAGGGTGAGGGCGATGAAGGAAAGGAAGGCGATGGGGAGGAGGTGGGTGTGCTAGGAGGTGAGGGTGGTGGCGTGGGAGGGCTGCAGTGGAGTGCTGTGGGCATGACTCTCACGTGCTCCGCCCTGCGCCTGCCACTGCTGCTGCACCTCTTCCTGGACACGCACTCTGCCAGTCACTACACTCGCATGCAGCAAGACACACTCGAGGATGACATGGTGAGCTGCCTACCGCATGCTTTCTTCAACGTAATACGCACCCTTCACTCCACAGCCTTCTACTCACTGTTCTTAATGTAATATCCAAGTTCTTAAGCCACTTCTATTTCGTCCCTCTTATTTCCCTGCCTGTGCCTCCAAATCCCCGGCGCCGCTTTCCCTCCATGCCCGCAGCTCCTCTCAGCGCACCCATGCTACGTCTGGTTGCTGCACGCCCTCCGCCCACCGCCACCACCACAACCTCCCACCACCGCCTCGCAAGCCGCCCCGGCAGCACCCACGGGTGCCCCTGCCACAGCCTTGCAGGTGGCACAGGGGGTGCGGTGCAACCTAGCGTGGCTCCTCGCCCACCCCCCTGGCGGCACTGCCTGGCCCTGGGTGCGCGCGGCGCAAGGGGGAGAGGCGAAGGGCGCGGGGGGGGGTGAAGAGGGTGGCGAGAAAGGCAGTGAGGGGCGTGGCGTACAGATGAGTGGGGGAGACGATGGGGGCAGGGGCAGTGGCGAAGGGGAGAGGAGGCAGGCCAGGCCAGCGGCAGGGGGTGTGGCTCTGTGGGCTGGGCATTACTTGAGCGGTGTTGTGGGGTGCAGATGGGTGAAGGGTGCACGGCAGGAGCGGGTGGGTGGAGCAGATGTGGATGCCTGGGGAGATGATGACCTGTGGTGGTGGCAGGAGGAGCAGTGGGGCGCGGACGAGTGGTGCGCGAGGGGAAGCAGGGTGGGAAACAGTGGGGATGAGGCAAGTGGAGATAGAGAGATGGGTGACGAGGAGGAAGAGGAGGATGAGAGAGGTGAGGGTGAGGCAGAGGAGCAAGGAGAGGAGGGAAAGGAGGAGGAGATGGCGGATGGCTGTGGTAGTGGTGGAGGGAGCGGGCGTGCTGATGCACATGGCAGGTCAGCAGGGGCCACACAGGTGCACGGGCGGCGTGCGGGCTCAGAGGTGCGGCGAGCAGCAGGGGGCTGGTGGGAGGAAGTGCCCGTGTCAGCAGTGGAGCAGTGGCAGCAGCACCTGTGGCGCTCCCTGCTGCTCGCGCTGCTTCTCCACCCCCCCTCCCACCCCGCCGTCCCCTCACATCTGCCCCTGTTCGCGTGCCTTGACCGCCTGCTGGGCCAAGGGCGCATGGCAGCCCAGGGCGACAGGGGACGAGGGCGGGGGGAAGGCAGGGGAAAGGACGAGGAGGAGGGGAGGGGGGAGTGGTGGCGGAGTGGCATGGGAAGGAGGGAGGAGGTGGTGGCGGTGTTGGGGGGAGGCAGAGGCATGTGGCAGATGAGGGGTGTGCGCATGGCACTCACTGCATCGCAGCATCCGGCACAAGGTGCGATGCACTTCATGCTGCTGCTGCTGCTGCTGCTGCTGCTGCTGCTGCTGCTGCTGCTGCTGCTGCTGCTGCTGCTGCTGCTGCTGCTGCTGCTGCTGCTGCTGCTGCTGCTGCTGCTGCTGCACATGGGATTCTTGCCTACCAGTCGCATGATGACAGCACGTGTGGGCAGCTCTTCTTGTCCACACCCATGTTCCTTTCATCCCCCTGACCTTAGAGATATCGCCTTCCCCACTCTCCACGTCACCCTCCGTCGCCCTCTCTCCTCACCCGTTCACACTGTTTTACTCTTTGCCTCCCTCTTCCTCGCTCTATATTTTTGTGTGCTTGTGTGTGCGTGCAGGAATTACCCTGCCCTGCCTCGTTCCGCCCGCACTGCTCTCACCGCCGGACTCACTCCACCATCACCTGCACGCGATCTCCCACCACGCCACCCCTCTGCCACCCACCCCCGCTCTTGCCCTCGCCCTCCGCCTGCACCTCCTGCTCTTCACCCCCGTCTCCCCCAACCCCCTCGCCTCCCACTCTCTCCCCCCCGCCACATTCCCCTGGGAGCTTCCCCCTTCCTTCCCCCTGCCATGCGCCCTCCAACTTGCCCCCCATGCTGCCCTGCAGCGCCTGCCCTCCCTCTCCGCCCTCTCCCACTCCCTCGCCTCCCCCTCTGCTCGACCCCACGCCCCTGCCTGGCTCAACGACATCTCACCCATGGCAACCCGCACTGCGCCACAGGTACCGAGCAGCACTGCACCACAACAATTGCGGCGCCATGTGGGACCGTCATCCGCACACTGTCTCTTTTCTCCACACCAGTCTCCCATGTCTCCTCTTTTGATCACCAGCAAACTCAAGTCTACCCTGTATTTTCTTGACTGAATTGCTTATGCCAAGTTGATTTCTCCCTCTCTGCTTTCGTCTCTGTCTCCCCATCCACATGCCCGACCATATCCACACGGTGCAGGCACCCACTAGCGCCCATCCAAGCGCACTGCTCCCCCTGCCTCACTCTCTCCGCCACCAGCTGCTAGCAGCGTCGCCATTGGCGCTCTTCCTCTCGCTCCTCCCCTCACTGCTCTCCCCATCCGTCGCCCGTGCCTCCCTCAAGGCCACCACGCACCACCTGCACGGCCTGGCATCAGCAGCAGCCCTGCTCGCGCGCACACACACGCCCCTGCTCGCGTCCGCCTCCACCTTCCTCTCCCTGCTCGGCCTCTCCTCCTCCCGCCTGCGCCTTGTCATCGCGGCCTTGCATCTCATCCTCTCCTCCTCCCCACCCCCTTCGCCCTCGTCCCTGGCCGCCGTTACTCGCTTCCTGCACTGCTACTGCAGTGCATGGGCGGGGGGGCAGCAGGGTGGGGCGGGCAGGGCAGGGGAGGCGGCGCAGCACAAGGCGGCGAGGCAGCTGCTGAGGCTGCTGGAGGGTGCCGTGCTGGGGGAGGCAGAGGGGGAAGTTGGAAAGGGTGAGGGGGGAAATGGTGCGGGTGGGATTTGTGTGGTGGAGGTGGGGGCAGTGGAGAAGGGAGGGGTAGGGAAGGGCGTGGTGCAGGGGTGGTCGAACCATGCAGTGGAGATGGTGGGGGAGGAGGAGCAGCAGGAGAGGCAGAGGCGAGTGCAGCAGGCGATGCAGAGGAGGGAGCAGCAGCAGCAGCAGAGGGACGAGTGGGCGTTGGTGCTCGCTCTTGCAGCGGAGTTCTCACTCCCACCCCCTAACACACTCTTACTGCGCTTCGCACGCGCTAACGACTGGGTATGGCTTGGGCTGCACAGGGGGCTTCATGTGTGTGTGCTGTGTAGCGCTGCTGTTACCTCACGCTGCTCCCAATACCTGCATCCTCTCTCTCCTGCTTATCCCCCCTCCCCCCCTCAGATGGGATTGCTGGCACAGGCTCAGGCGCAAACGTGGCCACTCCACGACCTGCTGCATATCGTAATGCTCTCCAATCCCCTCGCCCCTGCGTACCTCCTCTTCCTGCTCCCTGTCTTGGCTTGCATTTCTTCTGTTATGCCCTGCTATGTATTCTCTGCTATCGCATGGCCCACAGCCCTGCTCACTGCACTCTCTACCACATGTGCACAGCATTCACCAACCTCGGTCCCTTGCCAGTGCTCACCAATGTTAGCTCCCCTCTCACGCCACTCCCCTACCCTTCCAGGTCCATCAGCGAGTGCCGCACCTGCCGCTGCGCCACCACCTCTCCCTCGCCCTCGCCCGCTGTGCCTCCCCCTCCTGCCCACCGCCCTCGCTGCTGCCATACCATCGCACGCCCACCCTCTTCCACGTCCTCTCACAAGCCACCTCTGCGCCCACCCACTCGCACACTCCTGGGAGCAGCGCTGCTGGCCCCCCTGGCTGTGTGGCAGTGCAGCTGCTGCGCATGGCGCGGCACTTGCACTGGCCGCTGCTGGCTGTGGTGGCAGCAGGCGTGCAGGGAAGCGTGGAGGACAGGCAGGCAGGGGTGAGCTCGGGGATCACCCTGTTCCACCTGGCTTGCCTTGACTGCTGGCTGCATGCCACATGCGCAGAGTGAGTATGCCACACTACCCCACACCATCACTCTTCCACACCCACTGCCCCAGTATTGTATTGTTGCAGGGTTTGAGGTTCCTAAATGGATTGGCATGGAAAAGAAACAGGATTTTATTTTCTGGGTTCATTTATAGGACCAAAGAGAAAGTATTGAAGAAAACGCCTACTTCACTCTGCCGCATACCTACCTGCTACCAGTTGTTGCTGTTGTTTTTCCAACCTCTTTCCCCCTTTCATTCCCCGCTTCCCCCCCAACCTCATTGTGTGCCAGGCTGCTTGCAGCATCGACCCACACTGGATCGCACGGCCTTGCTGCCGCTGCTGTGGTTGTGTCAGCCCAGGGGGAGGTGGAGATATTAGGGTGGCTGGGAGATGGGGGGGAGGAAGAGGGTGAGGCAGAGGAGGGGGTTGAGGAGGAGTGTGGAGGAGGATTGCGGGGGAATCAGGAGTGGGTTCTGGGGTTGCAGCACGGGAAGCGGCGGCGAGTGGAGGCAGAGAGAGGGTGGAAAGGGGAGAGGCAGGCAGCAGCCATGGCCGAAGGGGAGCAGAGGGTGCCGCATTCACAGGCACAGCCAGGCGCGGAGGCAACGCAAGTGGAGGGGCAGGGGAGGAGGCATGGGGGCGAGGAGGCGAGGGGCATGGGGCTGGGCGGCATGGTGGCATGGCTGTGCCGTGAGGGGTGTGTGCTGCCGCTGCTGCGCGGGCTGCACCTCTTCCTGCCCCGCTGCTCCCTGCTCTACCTCCTCCTCGCACTGCAGGTGTGCTGCCACCCTCCATGCACACACATTTCAATTGCTCCACGGATGCAACCCAGAAGCTACATCATTCCTTGCAAGCTGCTGCGTCATTCCTCGTCTGCACTCCATGCCTCTCTACCTTCCCCCTCCCCGGACCCCTTCCCCTCCCCGTCAGGCGCACTGGCGGCAGCACAGTGAGGAGGCGGAGGCGTGTGTGGCGGAGTTCAACGTGCTGGCGGACAGGGAGCACGCCCATGCCCAAGCAGCGCACCACCACCAGGGCCACGCACTGGGGGAGGTGCTGGGAGACTTGGAGGGCGTGTGGGGTGCGGAGGGGGCAGTGGAGGAGGAGCAAGCAGCGACCCATGACCTCCCTCCTCTGCACACTCGCTCCTCCTTCTTCTCCCCCTCCTTCTCTCTGCGCTCCCTTGCCCTCCGCTGCGCACTCTCCCCCTCGGCTATCCTCTCCTCCCTCGCATCGCTGGCAGTCGATGCAGCCATTGCCCGCGCGGCCTCCCCGCACCAAACTCTCTCGCTCCTTCACCTCCTATCGCGCGCCCGCCTGCCCCCACCTGCCCAGCGCCGCCTGCAGCAGCTTCAGGTGGAAGCCCAGCTGCTCTCAGGTGACCCTTCAGGTCCCGCCGCCTCTCCCCTGCCCTCTATGTCCCCTGTGGCTGCGCATGGAAATACCAGCAGTGCGGCAGGGGCGAGGTTGGATGGAGGGGCGGAGCAGAGTTGGGCGGAGGGGGGTAGAGGGTGGGTCGCAGCAACGGAGCAGGGCGAGGGGGGGGTGGCGGAGAGGGCGGAGAGTGGCGAGGCGGGATGGGGCAACGAGGCACTGCAGCAGCTGGTGCAGGCAGGCAGGTGGAATGAGGCACGCGTGCTGGCAGGCAGGCTGGAGGGCCATGGGGGCAGCACAGCACGGGGGGGTGGCGCACGCATGGCAGATGGGGGAGGAGATTCACATGGAGGGGGAGGGTGGATGGGGGAGAGGGTGGAACAGGCGGGAGGCGGGGATGAGGAGGGGGATGAGTTGGGGGAGGGGAGCACGGGTGCGGCGTCGATGACGCAGGAAGCCAGTGCCTTGCAGGCGCGCATAACTCTCACTCAGGTGTGCTGCTCGTATGCTCCCTTCCCTTGCACGCCATATCCTACCTGTGCCCCTGCTAATGAATCCTGTCACACCCGCCTCATCTTCTGCCTCCCTCCTCCACCGCCCTAGGTGGCACCTTTGACACCACTACGGTTATTCTGTGCCCACCCCTTTTTTGTCCTTCGCCCTGCCATCAGGCGGAGCACATGGTGCAGGAGTGGCAGCAGCTGCTGTGGGAGGAGGAGGAGGAGCGCGCAGTGGTGTGGGAGCACTGCCACCACCTCTTCATGCGCCACCGCCTCCCACCGCACCGTGCCGTTGCCTTCTTCCTCGCCCATGCCTGCTCGCTTGGCACCCAGCTCTCACGCCCCACTGCCACGCCTGCTGCTGTGCCCGCCTCTGACAGTGACGCAGAGGGCAGGGGGGGCAGCAGGAAGGATGGAGTGGGGGCGGTGGAGGGCAAAGGGGAGGATGAGGAGGAGAGGGTGGAGGCGGAGACGGACCCCCTCAGTGAAGGCTTGTGGAGTGCCGTGAGCGTGTGGGGGGAAGAAGAGGAGGGGCAAGAGGAGGATGAGGAGGAGGAGGTGTGGAGTGAGGCAGGGGAGGAGGGCGGTGGTTGGGGCGATGAGATGGAGTGTGCGCAGAGGAGGGCGCGGTGTCTGCACCCCGTGCTGCTGCTTGCACTGCAGTGGAACCTCAGAGCGTACCACCTCGCTTATTTGTACGGACCGCTGCCCTGCACCACGCTCTTGCATGCACGCTTATGCATCAATTTTTCGTGCATCTATATTCCGTTGCCTCCTGTTCTCTCTTCTGTGTTCACTGCTGCGTCTTCATGCTCTCTCGCCCTATTCCCTTCCTGCATCCTGTGCCTTCATCGACCCAGGCATGCGTGCAGGTCAGCAGCAGCACCGCACACGGCACCTGAGGAGTGCACAACCCCGCACGCCACCACCACGGAGTGTGAGCTGTCGCTCGCCGCCCTCGCGTGCCGTGTGTGGGAGGTGGCAGCACTGGCGGACCACCCCCTGCCCTCGCCCCTGCACTGCACGCCCTTCCCCGGGCTTGCCGTGCCGCTCTGCTCCCTGTGGCACCGCCTGGCGCGTGGCCCTGTGACCTCCTTCCTCGCTCGCACCGCGCGTGTCATGGCTGCCAACCAAGACGCCCTCTGCGCTGCCGCCGCCGCCCCCCTCGACTCTCCCCCCTCGCCCTCCTCTTGCACCGCGCAGCTGCCACTGCCACCTGTTTGGCCGTCAGCAGAGGGGGGTGCAGGGAGGGGGGAGGAGGAGGAGAGGGCGAGGGAGGGCGTGGTGCAGGTGCTGCTGGAGCGAGGGCAGATGGAGGGGGCACGTGCTGTGAGTGCGCACGTGGGTGGTGGTGGTGGCAGGGATGGCATGATGGAGGCGGATGTGGCGATGGTGGAGGCGGCAGAGGCGATAGCGGTGCATGAGGGCATGATGGACGAGGACATGCATGCCATGGTGCTGCATGCATGCCGCACATGCCCTGTGGAGGATGACACCCGTCACCTGCTCTTCTCCGACCAGCCTCTGGATGTGCGCTGCCCCACTCAACCCGTGCACCCCATGCGCCCCATGCACCCGCTGCAACCCATGCTCCCCGTAACTGTTCCTGTGTTTCCTCTATGTGTTTGTTTGCCACATAGTCATTGCGATGCTCCACATGATCACATCATCTTGTGTGTCCCATATGCATCACTTCTAACTGTGCTACGTGCTGCACTGCATGTCCCGGATACCCCTCTCCGTCCCACCTCGCCCGCCCATGACTCCTCTCCTCCAGGTCCTCACAGCCCTCGCCCGCCTCGCCTCGCTCCCCTCCGCCCGCCTCTGCATCCTACGCTGCTTTGCACGCCGCCACGCCATGCAGCTCCTCACGCGCCTCTCGGAACCGCTCTGCAACGTCACGCTGCCTGCGCTGCTGCGAGCGCTGCTGGCAGAGGGCGAAGCGGCGGTGGCGAGTGTGCAGCTGCTGCTGGCCACTGGGGTGCTGTCCGGCGCTGATGCCGTGCCCGCCGTGGCAGAGCGAATCGTTCAGGTCAGCACCGCTGCTCTATGCGTCCTGCCAAGGCCTCTTGCCAATGCCCTTTGCCCTATTGTGCGTGCTGCACGCTATCAGGTCCATCCATGCCTCCCCTAAGTTCAACGACTCAATGCTTCTATGTGTCCTGCTCCTGTGCGCTGTGCGGTGCTTGCAGGTGATAGACAGCGGGTACAGCAGTGCGGCCAGCACCACGTGGCGCAGCGCTGCATACAGGCGCTTCACAGACGTACGCGGCAGAGGGCACGGCGATGGGGAGGGCGTGCAGGGAGTGGGTGCAGGCAGCACAGCAGCACGGGGTGCAGCCCGGCAGGGCAGTGCCAATGTTGCCCACGCTGCATTCATGTCCCCCTTGCACACTGCTGTGCCACCTCCCCCTTCCTCCGCTGCCTCGCCTCGCTCCTTCCACCCCTCCCCCCTGCTAGCACGCGCATCCTCACTGTCATCATCATCATCCTCAGCAGCAGCGGCAGCATCTGGTCGCGGCTTGGGGCACACTGCCAGTGGCAAGGCGCTGTGGGGAGGGGATGCACCTAGTGGACTGGATGCGGCATCTCGCCTGCCATGGGACGAGTCAGAGGTGGCAGCCCTGCTGTCCCTGCTCTCCCACCACCCCTCCCTGCACGACCTTCCCTTTGCACTCCCGCCGCTTCCTCCTGCTGCACCACCTGCCCCCAGCAGCAGCAGGGGCGAGAGCAGTGAAGCTCCGCCCTTGATTTTCCTGCCTCTGGCTCTGCTCCACTGCCTGAAACACCTTGACGGCGCCAACGCCAACACACAGGTCAGCCTTTAAGGTTCCCATGCTGCCTTCCCGCTGCGCCAGCTCTCTCCACTCACCACCAGTATTGTTCATCACTGTGTTGCTTCACCTCGTTTGCCTCTATCTCTCCATCATCTCCGCCCTGTTCCTCAACCAACTGCCCTCCTTGCCCCTGCCCGTCTGTGCCCAGGTTGATGTGCTACTTCTCGCACACTACGCCAGCGTGGCGGTTCCCTTGGCAGCCAATGAGACGCTGCCACGTGTCACAGAGGCGATGGTGCAGTGTGCGGTGTCGCTGGCCGCGCCCTCCCTGGCGTCCGCCTCGCTGCGCCTGCTCCTGGCCAGCACCAACCCGCGCCCCCTCTGCTTCATCCTCACGCGCCTCCTTGCCTCCGGCCAGCTCGCCTTCCTTCTCTCTCGCCTTCCTGCCGCTGCCTCTGCTGCCCATGCCGTGCGCTCTGTCTTCCTCCAAGCCACGCTCCCTGCCGCCAGCGCCAGCAACCCCATGAGTACCATGCTCTCCCTCTCCGCCTTCACCCCGCCCCCATCCACCGCCACCACCACGTGCGCCACTTGTGCCAGAGGCTGCTGCCCTGTTCCCACGGCCGTGCCCCATGCTTCCAGGCGGGGCAGCGGCGTTGGTGGTGGCAGGTGCAGCGGGGGAGGGGGGTGTTTGGCATTGGAGGTGCGCATTGCACTGCACACAGCCGGTTGGAGCCAGGGGCTGTGCGACGACAGCAAGAACCTTGTATGCCCTCCCTCCCCATGCCACCCTGCTTTGTACTCGCCGCCTGATTTCCATCCACTCTTTCTTCGCTTGCTTGTCCTCTTGACCAATTTCCTCTTTCCTTCTTCCCACACCCCTCCCCCATGTGGCAGGTGTTGCAGCAGCTGGGGCCAGCACGGGAGTTGGCGGAGGCGCATGAGAGGCGGGCGGGGGACTACCTGGCGGACTGGCGGGCGCTGCAGTCATCGCGCTGGCTGCACGCCAACGACGACGCCGCCGTGCTCATGCTGCTCGACGCCATGCGCTGCCTCTGCGCCGCCGCCTCCATGTGGGACGGGCTGGGCGCGGGCGACAGGGCGCGGCGCAGTGTGGCGCAGGCAGCACTGCTGGGGTTGCAGGTGCACGTGGGGGACACACTCGTGGGGCTCACACCCGCTGCTGCCAGCGTGCTGCTGCAGCAGCAGCACCGCTTCTTCGAGGCGCTCGTCATCGCCAACGCATACGACCTCACCTCGCCTGCCGACTGGTCGCTACTCCTCTGGACCCACCTGGACCGCTTCCGACCGTCACCGGAGTTCCTGGACGAGTGGGCGATGGCGGTGCCCATGGCGCTGGACATGCTGCTAGATGTGGCGGAGCGCGTGCAGCACGAGGTGGGTAACAACCGCTCCGCTCACGTGAACTACCTGGCGGGTGCGTTCCGGCACCTGCTGTGGCTCGTGCCGAACCTGGAGGAGCGGCTGCAGCTGGCCACGGTGTCACGCGCCGCCCCTGCGGAGGTGGACAAGTGCCTCAGCATGCTGGACCGCGTACCAGCCACCAGTGCCCCCCTCCTGCTGCGCAGAGGCCATGGCGGGGCGTACATGCCCGTGCTGTGAGCGCAGATGGGGTTTGGGAAATTAAGGCAAGGTGGTGCGTTCAAGTTCAGGCAGAATGGCTGCTGAACAAGCTGGTTGTAGGTGACCAACACATGGAATGCGTGATGCCTGTAGGTTCTTGCCTGTCAGTGTGATAGCTAGATTCATTTGTGTCATGTTGGCATGGACTGCTTGGCAATGTCCGCTCATGCTTGTTATCTTCAACTAGGTGACTCAGCCACATAGAGTGAATTCACTCATGTGGCAACACTGACAAGGTTATACATTTCTCAAGAAGGGATGCATGGCCCTTGGCTCCAGAACACAAGATGCTGAAGATTATGTACTCCATTACTAAACAAGGGAATCCTGCTGCTCCCTAGATTTCGACAAGGTTATAAATGTCTCATCAAGGAATGGACGACTCTTGGCTTCAATATTGCATTACTGCTAAATATCTTGCATTGCTGGATCAAGCTGCCCTAACAGATAAACTCCAACCAGAGTTGAATGGAAATGAGGGTGAAGCCAAAAACATTTGGATGCGTGGTGCTGCTATTCCAAGGGGGCAGTGCTTGGAGTGGCTGAGTGGGCTTGCACTGAGAGGCGCACTGCCTGTGCCTGCAGAGCACTCAATGCTGCATCACCCCCTCCTGATGCTGCCGCTCCTGCCTCTTCCACCATTGCACCCTTGCTCGCCTCAGCAACAGCCCCCGCACCAGCCTGAAGTGCCCTGTGCAGCAGTGACATGCGCTGTAGCACCACGGCCTTGCCCACCACCCACCCGCTCCTCTCCATGTCCTGCCCTTCCTCCTGCTGCGCTCCTCCCCCTGCCTCGCTCTCTCCTGCACCATCTGGGCTTCCACTGTCATGGCCCCGCCACCTGTCCTGCCATCCTGGCAGCTGCCACGTCAGCAGGTAGGCCACCAGTTGTCGAACCACTGGGGTGCGCTGCGCATACCTGGCCAGCCGCCGTGCCACGCTCTCGCGCTGCCACATGGCAGTCTGTGATTGGGCAAGGGGTTCGCCCGCATGAGGCTGATGTTTGTCAGGTTGAGGAGATGCCGCGACACCCACAAGGGTGGGGTAGTCGGAGTCAGGTGCATGGTCAAAGAGGAAGGCAACGAGCAGAGAGGCAGCTAGGGCAAGTGAGAGGGGGTAGTGGGGCACGGCCTTGTGGGGAGAGAGAGCTGTCAGTGCCAGCAGCGGATCATCTGGCTGGCTTGTTGCTCCAGGGCCATGGGCCACCTGTGTGCATGAGGTGGCAGGGGTGAGCAGTGAGCAGCATTTGTCAAGCGCACCACATTCCAATGACTGCATGCATGCCTGCAGCAACGCCCCCCCCGCACCGCCCACTGCTTGCCCCTGCCCCGGCCCCAGTGCCCCACGCCCCCCAGCATCTTGGCAGTCAGGCGAGGCATACAGGTACCCCATGGGGCTGCCAGCACAGAGCGCGAGCGACGGCAGCAGGTGCAGTGCGGAAGCAGCATCAAGGGCACGCCAGGCAGCGAGGCGAATGGGGGGAGCCACGTGCGCGTGCAGGAGGGTGGCGAGCTGGCGGGCAAAGAGCACGTGGCCGAATGAGGCTGCAGCGAAGCGATCAGCTAGGGTTTGGAGGAAGGACTCGTAGACCGATGGGGGGAAGAGGTGCGGGGGGAAGTCACGCACGGCGTGCTGTGATGTGAGCTGCAGGGCATATGCGTCTTGCAGGCACGCGATGGGCGGGTGAGGGCGGGTTGCAGGTAGAGAGGTGGGTCGGCAAGGAAGAGCAGCGAGAGGTGGTGCAGCTTGAGCGACACGGGGAGGCACGCCATGTGGGGCGCCGTGGAGGGAGTGGTTTCCAAGGCGGTGAGGAAGGCGAGCAGGGCGTGCAGCGTGTGAACGGGGGAGAGTGGTGCGGGGGCCGCCGCCTCAGAGGGCGCAGTGCTGTGGGTGGCAGATGCAGCAGCGGCCAGTGCAGCAGCAGCAGGCAGCGGGATGAGGAGCCAGGCGGGAGGGAGAGGAAGGGTGTGTGCATGCCACTGCAGTAGCAGCGGCTGTGCTGTCACACATGCGCCTTGCAGCAAGAACGACCACTGCTGCTGCCCGCCCATGCACCGCCCTCCACGCCTGAAGCACTGCTGCAGCTGGTGGTGGCAGTGGTGGGGCTATCACCGGAAGCACCACCTGCTGCCCCTTCCCCTGCTACCTCTGCAAACCTCACTCTCTTCTCGCCACCCTCACCACCACCCACCTGCTGCACCTCCCCTCCTTGCTCCACTCCTTCCATCTCCCCCTCCTCCTCCCCTTCCTCCACTGCTGCCAGGCGCCCTCCCACCCCCTCCCTCCTTCGCCCTTGCTTTCCCCCACTTGCACTCACGCCCTGCACCTGTGGGAGTGCGGGGTGAGTGGAGTGGCGGCTGAACCACAGGGCCTCCAGCAGCTGCCGCACACAGGGCAGCCACACACCCGCTCCACCACCTCTACCACCATGCCCCTCCACCCCCTCACCCCCCTCTCCGTGAATCTCTAAATGGGCTTGTTCACCTGTGCTGGATGGCACAGACGGCACAGCAGGGGAGAAGGCGAGGACGCGTGGAGAGAGCAGCGTGTGCAGCAGAATGAAGGCCGCAGGTTCAGCGTCTGCAGGCCCTGCACTGTCCGCCACCGCAAAACACACCTCCACCAACTCCCTCGCACTCAATCCCTTCTTACCTGCTTCATTCTCACTCACTCCATTCGCACTCCCTTCATGCCCACTCACTCCTCTCCCCTCAGGCTGCATGCACCCGTGTGTGTGCAGCAGTGCCAGCAGCGCTGCAACCAAGGCAATGTGCTGTGACGACACCACCGCCTCCACTCCCCACCACCCCTCCCCTCCCTCCGCCCCTCGGCCCCCCCACCCCGCCCCCACCCCCGGCGCCGGTCCTCCTCTCTCCGTGCTGCCCTCGCGCCACACCAGCGCCCCGACGCCTGCACGGGCTGTGCTGTGTGCGCGTTGTGCGGCAGGTGAGAGGGGGCTGCCTGCTGCCCTGGTGGAGAGCAAGCGAGCCGAGGAGGTCAGCAGCGGCACGAAGGATGGGATGCACGCATATAATGCTACAGCCGCTGCTGCCGCTGCTGATGCCGGTGATGGTGATAATGATGGTGGCGGTTCCATGGACGGTGGTGATGGTGCTGCTGAGGTGTGAGTGGCAAAGGGCGGGCAAGCATGGTTGTGGAGTAGCAGGCAGCCCACGAGGCGCAGCATGCCGTGCAGGCAGCTCGCACTCGCCACACCCAGCGCACACGGCAAGCGTGCTGCTGCTGCCAGCAGGTGGAAGGTGGGCGAGGCGGGCGGGAGAAGTGCAGGTGGAGTGTGTGGGGAGGATGCAGGGGTAGGTGGCGCCGAGCGGGGAAGCAGGCCAGATTGCAGGAGGGCGGATGTAATGGCGTCAATGAACGGAGGGCGCACACACGGCGCCCCCTCCCCTGCCTGCGCCCCACTTTGCTGCCCATGCACTGCTGATGTTGCTGCTGCCTGGGGTGGTGTGGTGGGCACGGCACAAGTGACAACAGTGGCGAGGCAGTGCAGTACTGCTGCCACTGCTGCTGCTTCCTCTGCCACCCCCCTCATGCCCGCACCGTTCAAACCACTTCCCTCTCTCCCAACCCCACCATCCACTTCCATCTCGTCTGCCCGTGTGCCTTCCTGTGCCTGCCCATGCTGTTCTGTGCAAGACTGAGAGTGAGGGTGTGTGTGAGAGTGCGAGTGTGCGAGTGCAGCACGGAGGCCAGAGGAGAGGCGAGCAACCAAGGTATTCTGCAGCCAGCGCAGCACCATGGGCAGAAGCGCAACCACCACGCTCCATCCGATATTGTCTCCCGTGTCCCTCTCTGCCTCAACACTCTCCCCGTCACCATCTCCATCGCCCACAGGCACGACGCCTCTGAGCCGTGGCAGCGCGCAGCACAGCGCCTCCAGCACCAGCACCGCCTCTCGCCCCACGCACACCTCCGCTCCCCCCCACACGCCCTCCCCCTCCGCCATGCCCCCCTCATGCCCAGCAGCAGTGGTGGCGGCGGGGAAAGGGGGATCGAGGAAGCGGGCAAAGAAGGGGGAGTAGTCGGAGAAGAGGTGTGCGGTGAGGCCCTGGCGCGCCAGCACTCGCCACAGGGAGAGCACCGCCAGCACTGCTTGGAGGGACGCCAGAGGGAGTGCGGAGGAGGAGGGCGGGCGCGGGAGCGGGAGGAGCAGCAGGTGGTGCAGGGTGAGGTGGATGAGGTCACAGGATGCCACGTGGCGGGCGATCGTTGGGCTGGCTGCACTGCACGCCTGGTGGGGTGGGCGGGTGAGGGCGTGGGATGGGGAGTGGGTGGTGAATGGAGGATGGGATGAGGGGAGTGAGTGAAAGGCAGGAGGCAGGGGAGAATAGAAGAGCAGCAAAGGGGATGGGGAACACTTCACGGGACGGAGGGACAATGAAGACAGTACAAAGAGGCGGGAACACGCAATGCAGAGAGGAGCGCCCATGTGAATGGCGTATCGCATGGGCATCCCAGTGCCCTGCCGTGCTTGCCTTTATAATGTTGCTTGCAGCAGCCAGCAGCTCAGGGCTGCTGGGGGCTGCTAGGATGGCCGAGAGGGGTGAGCGAGGGGCCGCGGAGGAGGAGGAGGGGGTGGGCGGTGGCGGAAGCAGGTGGAGGGCGTGAGCGAGGGCGGTGGCAGCAGCGGGGGAGTGGTGGGCGATGCAGAGGGCGACGTGCAGGCACGGCAGGTGCAGGTGCGTGTGGTGCTGCAGAGGGGAGTGCGGCTGCGGGCAGGTGCAGACGGGGAAGAAGGGCATGTGGCATGTGGAGGGGAGGGGATGAGGGGGTTAGAGGGTGAAGCGGTTACACAGATTGGCAGTGGCTCATGCGTACACAACTCTTATTATGAATAGCAGCGTGCTGCGACGAGAAAGAAGAAGCCCTGGAAAAGGAGGGGGAAAGGATGCAGAGGGAGCGAGGAGACCTGGAGCAGGTAGGCGAGGCGGGGCAGGATGCCCATGCGGATGAGCCCTGCACACACGTCCCTGCACGCCACGTTCGCATCACTGCCCACCGTCCGCTTGTCACCCTCCCCTGCGCCCTCCATGCCCCCGCCACCAAGCCCCATGCCCTCCATGCCCCCGCCCTCCTCCTCCTCCTCCTCGTCCTCGACATCGTCGCCATCAGCATCGGCAGGCAGCAGCAGCTCAGAGCGAGCCACGTTGCGGCGCCAGTGGTGCCCGCGGGCGAAAGCGGGCAGCAGGGAGGGCGCGGCGGAGGGGGAGGAGGAGGCGGTGAGGGGCGCAGGCAGGAAGGAGGCGGCGGCCTTGGGCTTGTGCACGGGGGCTGTGGCTGTGATGGCCTCGCCTCGCCACACACTCTGCTGGACGGGTAGTGAAGCACACCGTTGCAGGGGGCACAGGCAGTGAGACGCCCACAAGGGGGGTTGAGAGAGAGGAACGGCGAGGTGGAGGGGGGTGTGAGGGGGAGACGGGGACGGATGGCGTGGCACAGACATGCAGAAAGCACATCGCACCACACCCTTGGTTCACTTCAATGCAGGAATAATGAAGAGAGGACGTTGCAATGAGTAAACGGAAACATGGAAGGTCCGGGCAGGAGGAGCCAGGTGCGCGGATGAGAGGCGACCTGAGAGAGGGAGAAGAAGCGGTGGTTGGGGGCGAAGGAGAGGACGTGCAGGGCGAGGGCGAGCGCGGCGGCGAGGACCTGAATGTGCTCGTGGTCTAATGCTAGCCTGCCCCGCCATGCCACACACATGCACACACACAGCACACAAGGGACGGCCGGCAGCGGGGTTGGGCGGGGATGGACCGAAAGGAAAAATGAGCGGATGATGGGTGCAGATGGGTGTGGTGCAAGCGAGGGGCTGGTGGAACGCGGGGTGCGAGGTGCACGGCACACGGGCACGCGGTGGAGGGGTATGTCTGAGTTCAGACAGGCGGTTGGGAGAGAGGCAATGGTTGTGACTATGAGATGTGAGAATGCGAGTGGGAGTGCGAGAGAGGATGGTCCCACGGGTTTAGGGCGCCCCAAGGCTCACCGCAGGGCGAGCAGCAGCTGCACCTCGTGGCTCAGCACATACGCCCACACCGCCTCCCAGTCCTCCTCCTCCTCCTCCTCCTCCTCCTCCTCCTCCTCCTCCTCCTCCTCCTCCTCCTCCTCCTCCTCCTCCTCCTCCTCCTCCTCCACGCCCTGCCTCCCCGCCTCCCCTCCACTACCGTCCTCCGCACTCAACACACTGCCCCCCACCGTGCCCTCCCCGTCCCCTGCACCATCGCTTTTACCCCTCCCTGTGTGAGCATGCGCTGCCCTGGAGAGCACGGCAGAGAGCAGGGCGAGCCCAGCAGCGGCCTGAGCGGGCACGTGGCTGCGCGACAGTGCCACCGCCTCGCGCACCGTGTACCCCGCCCTCCCTGGCTGCGCGCCCGTCCTCAGCCAGTCACGCTCCGCCACATGTCGCACCGCCAGGTCACGCACCGCCATGCCTTGCGGTGAGTCTGCAGGAGGAGCGGTGGGGAATGCGGAGGGAGGAGGAAAGGGAATGAGAGGGGATCTTGGAGAGGACAAGGCATCGGCTCACTCAGTGCGGTGTGGAACGGTGGCAGCAGGACAAAAGAGCAGATTACCACGACATAGCCATGCCACCCTGCATGCCAGCCATCATGCATGCATGCACGGCAGCACCGTACCCTGATCAAAGTGCATGGCAGCTTCAGCCGGTACCCCGAGGGCGCTCTCTGCCTCCCGTGCCACGTCAGCAGGGACTGGCCGCCCGTCCATGGCGAACCGAACGCTGCGAATGCGCTCCACTCGCTGCTCCCACGTGGCAGGGCGGTCATGCTGACGTGGCACCGAAGGCCCACTGGCAGGTGCATGGTGCGAGAGAGGCTGCTGGGAGGAGTGAAGTGATGCACCGCCATTGTCCCCACCGCTGCCACCATCCACCTGCATTTCCTCCTGCTGTTGCTGCTTCTCCTCCCCTGCTCCACCACTCACTCCCTCCGACCTACTCCCTTGCCCTGCACCCACCCCTCTGCGCCGCTCCTCCTTCTCCCTGCCTCGCCGCCTGAGCATGTCCAGAGCCCCCGGGGGCAGGCATGCCATCAGCTCCGCCTGTGCCTCCGCTACCTGTGCCGCACTCATGCCGCTCACCACCCCCCTGTTCGCCTCGTCTATCTCCCTCTGCTCCTTCGTCTGCCCCACCCCCCTGCCACCGCCGCCACCAACCACTTGGGCAGCTGTGTCACTCCGTGATGCACTGCCCCCAGGCATCGCAGCAGCAGCACCTTCCGCCCCTGCTCCTGCACCAGCAGCACGAGCGATTCGCCCCTCCCTCGCTGCCCTCTCCCTGTCGCTCACGCGTGCTCCCCTGTCCTGCCCGCCCACTGCTGCCATGCCCCCATCCACACCCATTGCCTCTCCCTCCACCGGCCCCATCCCCCCCTCCTCCCTCACTCTCGCCCCTTCCTTCTCCCCTCCCCTCCTCGCCAGCCCCCCCTCCACGCCCATGCCGCCCCTGTTCCACTCCGCCTCTTGTTGCGTGCCTGCTGCCCCTCTCCCCCCCGCAACCGCCTGCTGTGGGCGCAGAGGCACGGCGGATGCGGCAGCAGCAGCAGGGGGGGGCAGCACGGAGGGGTCGTGGGGAGGGCTCGAGGCAGCAAGGGGGTGCGCATGAACCACTGCCGGCTGCCAGTGCTGTGGGAATGGGAGTTGCACGGAGTTTGCAAGGGGGCAGGAGTTCAACACAACCACGGGTTTAGGGCGAGCAGGGGTTTGGGGCGAGCAGGAAGGGGTTTAAGGAGAACAGGGGTTAACTAGACCAGGGAATTAGGGCGAGAGGGGGTTAAGGGTGAGAAGGGGTTTAGAGTGAGAAGGGGTTTAAGGCGAAAGGGGGTTTACGGCAAAGGGGTTTCTAGGTCGAACATGAGCCGGGGTTAGCCTGCCAGTAAATCACATCAACCCACACCCACTCTGCAGCCTCGCCCCCCTACAAGCACCAACGCTCCCCCCTTCCAACCGCACACGTTTCTCTTTACCCCCCAAGCACGCACAGGGCCCTCTGCACGGTGGCGGGCGACGGGGAAGGCGAGGGCGGACATGGGCAGGGGGACAACGGGCGCGGAGGGGCGCGCAGGGGCGTCGCCAAAGCCCTTCTCGCGGATTCCGCTCAGCACAGTGAGCGGACGGTACTCCCCCTCGCCTCCCCCGCCCTGTAATCCGTCCAGCCCCATGCTCCTCTGCTCCTCCTCCCGCTGCTGCTGCTGCTGGCGCTGCTGCTTCCGCCTCTGCAGCTGCTCCCTTTCTTGCTGCTTCCGCCGCTGCTGCTCCTCGCTGCCGCTCCCCCGCCCTCCTCCCCGCGTCAAGTGCACTGGCGCGCCCGAATTTCCCCCTGAGACTGCAGAGACAGCGGGGGGGTAGAGGAAATGTGGGCGGAAAACAGCGGGTGGATAGCCCCATGGGAGGGCGCGGAAGGGGGCCCAAGGGAAGGGGACTGCAGAGGCACGAGGTGCTGAGAGAATTGCAGTGGGAGGCGCAGGCGGGGCAGACGAGCGGGGGCAGGGCGGGAGAGGAGGGTGCCCCAGGTGGCGCGCGCGGCGGGAGGCAGCCATGGGAAGTGAGCGCACGCGCGCGACAGGACGCACCAGTATCGGCGGACTGCGCGTCGCCGTCCGCGCTATTGAGTCGCACGACAGTGGCGGCGGCCGGCTGCCGGCCCGCCATGAACTCCGCCTGCTGCCGCTCTAGATCCTCGTCGCTCATGTCGCCCCGCCGCAACCCACTGCGCGACGCCATCGATAGGCAATCGGTGCCGCGAAAGGGTTTTACGAAGATCAGTGGAAGCAGGGAGCTGCGCGGGCACGACGGTAGTGCTCAGCAGAGCGTAGAGTGGGCGAACTGGTGGATCGACCGACAAATTCCCAACAACAGCAGTTGTGTGCAAAGCAAGGTGCTCAACACGGAGTGGGATTGATGTGTAAGAATCTCAACCCAGATTTCGCGAAACGGTTACGGGTGTTGCGATGACGGAATTGGGCATATTTCTCGAACGAATATTGGCGAAAAGGCAGTTCCCACAGTTTCCCGACAAGAAAGTCTGCCCACGCGGCTCGCAATTTTGCAAATTTCGAGAAATTTGCCAACATGCGGCTCGAAGTTCGACCACCAAGTTTCCCATCAGATTCGTCGTGCGAGTGGTCATCCACAGCCGTATACGATCTCATCTGACGGCTCACGACGCCTACCGAAATGGGCTACGACCTCACCCGCGATTTTGTTTAATTGCCCGAAGTTCAGCTGCCCAGTTTCTGAGTCAACGCCATTCAATAGCAGAAATGGTTCAGTGCGCCTCAGAATGTTTTGTTTTCAAATTTTCGGGCACCGTTTTACGCGGGAGTCAGAAATCCCAACCAAATCGTTGAGTCCATCCGATTGTCAGACGTGAAGGCCTATTGGGTGCGACTATATTATTTACGTGTGTGCTGGTCAGAAGGTCGCAATTTGGTCGTAACTGCTCGCAAGGACGCGGTGTCCAGAGTGGGGCAGTACCCCACTCTGACCACCATCCCGACAATTTTTGAGCCTGATGGGCAAACTTCGGTGTCGGGAAACTGTGGGAACGCCATCTAAGTGTGACATCACTTCCAGCTCTTGCTCGCAACGACTGACCCAACAAAACCTTTCTGCAACAAATCCCTCCTCCCCTTGCAACAAACCAGCCATTGTCGCCGTTCCGAATCCGTTGACATCCTATATCCCTCCCCTCACCGCCACACGCTCATCTCCCCGCCCACCGCATCTTTTCCGCCGCGCGAATCCGCCATGGCGGCCACAGCTGCGAGTGAGTCCGCGCGCTACCGTTCGTACGCGATGCGCTGTCCGCTGCGCGCCGTGCATCCCCGCTAGTTCTCGCCTTGCGCACCGCGCTCTGCGCTTGCGATGCTTGTGACTGGGGGCTCGATGCTGCCTGTCGTGCTGTTCTCGAGACGCGAGCTCTGAGCTGCTGCGAATCTCGGTGTTTCTGACGCGTGTTCTTAGATTCCTCAATACGACTACTCGCTGGTCAGAGGCGCATTTTCATATTTCCCAAAATAACTATACGCTGCCTGCGTACGCGAGCTCAGATTCCCCCCCCCCCCCCCACCCCCCCACCCCCTTCCCTATCGCCCAGGTGCGTGTCGGCTAGCCGCCCTTCCCGCATGCTTCTCCGCGTCTCGCGGCAGTCGACAAACCGCCGAGCGCCGAGCGTGCTGGTCGCCGCAGGAGGCAGGCGGGCGATGCGGGGTGCGAGTGGTGGCGATGGCGAAAGGCGGCAAGGGCGGGAAGAAGAAGGGCGGTTCGGCAATCCCGAAGGCGGGGCAGGGGAAGAAGAGCGCGGAGGAGGGCGCGGCTGTGGACGAGTCGCGACCGCCGTACATGAATGCTGACATCATCATGCACTCGCTCGAGCTCATTGACAGGTTGGCGGTGATGGCCGGGGATGGGATTGGATCGGATTGAGTAGGATGCTATGACGTGAGATGGGATGGGGTGGGATGGGGTGGGATGGGATGGGGTGGGATGTGTCATATACATTACACCCTGTGTGCGCCATGTGCTCTGTGCTGCTGGCATCGCCTCATGCTGCATCGTCCGCACCATCGCATTCGCCTCGCCCTCCCTGCCTCCGCTTTAACCTCCCATTTGCACTCGACACGCACTCCCAGCCACCCAACACCCTTTCCCCCATCCCCTTCTTGCTTCCCTCCTCTCCCTCCTTCCCCCCCCTCTTCCCCCCCGGGTGCACGTGTCCCAGCTACTACCGGGCGACGGGGAGGCCGGTGTTTGACAAGCCGGTGGAGGTGGCGGAGGCGGCCAAGGAGCTGTGGAGCGCACCCTTCCTCGTGCTGTCCCACGGCACCGAGGACGACCCCCTCTTCAACTATGGTGCGCTCCCTGCCATGCCATGCCATGTCATGCCATGCCACGCCATGCCATGCCATGCCATGAGGTGCCTACAGGATGACGTGGCATGGCCAGGCATTGCATGGTGTGGAATGAGATGTTCCATCACCATGCCATGTCACTCCGCTGCTGAGGATTATCGTCTCCACGATGCATGCGCTGTGCACTGCAGCCTTGCTGTCACTGCATGTCCCCACGCCCATCACAGCACCATCGCACATATCGGCGCCATGCTGCTCCGAGTCATATCTTCCTCCTTTGCCCTCCTCCATCCCCTCGACCAAACTCCCATATCTGGTTCCCCCCTCCCCCCCCCCACACGCCCACCTCCCCCACGCCCAGCGAACGAGAGCGCACTGCGCGCATTTGAGAGCACGTGGGGCGAGTTCACGGCGCTGCCGTCGCGCTACTCCTCGCCCGACCCCGACTCGCCCACACGCAAGGAGCTGCTGCAGCAGGCCGAGGAGGTGCGGAGGGGCTCTGGGGGGGAGGGGGAAACAGGAGTTGGGAGTGGCGGGGAGGAAGGGTTGGTGGGGAATGTTAGGGTTGTGGACGTTCCAATGGCACGAGGGGGGTGATAAAGCGAGGAGTGAGGGGCAGCAGGATGTGAGTGCTGCTGGTAGTGGGAGTAGGCTGTGAGAGTTGAGCAACGGAGGCTTTCGCATGTGATGAATCTACACGCTTGCACAATTATTCTCCCCCTCTGATCTCCTTAGTTCCCGCTTTCCACGTGAAACCACATGCATGTGTGTGCATGCGATGCTGTGGGCTGTGAGCAGAAGCCCACGGATCTGAAGGGGCTGGTGCGAGTGTCCACCAAGGGGACCAAGTTCGAGATCGATGACGGCGTCTGTGCGTGCCCTCGCCTCCTGCTGCCCCATGTCTCCACACCACTCTCTTGCCTGGATGAGTCATGAACTGCTCTTATTCCATGCGCCATGCGTCGATCCCCCTTCCGTTTCCCCCTCCTTGGACCCCATTTGCTTTGTCTCGGCCATTGAAAGCACGACCTGTTCACACTGCTTTTTCAACCTCACAAATATATTCTGTCTGCGCATGTCCCTGCTGCTGCTCTCTCTGCTCCTCCCTCACCCCCCCTTGCTGCTCCTGGATCAATCACACTTGTTCTCCTTCTCCCCTTCCCCAACCAACCAGTGTGGACGCTCGTGGCGACAGACGGCGAGCGCTTTGGGCAGGTACCACTCAGCTCCCTCGTTGCACTTGGGGGTGCACGCACACACATGCACACACACGCACATGCACGCACACACACGCACGCACGCACGCACACACACGCGCGCGCGCGCGTACACACGCAAACGGACACACGCACACGCGTACACACGCACACGTGTAAACACACACGCGCACACACACACACGCACATGGACAAACACACATGCACATGCACACACACGTACACACTACACACATACACACATGCACACACATGTCCACACATGCACACACGCACATGCACACACACACACTCACATGCACACACGCATAGCACATACACACACCCACACACACACACATGCACACACGCACACACACACGCGCGCGCGCACACACACGCATGTGCGCGCGCGTTCGCATACACGAAGAAATTCATCCACATATGTGCCCCTGGCCACTTGCCACTATCCCTTGGCTCCACCCTCCCTCTGCCATCTTCCAATCGCCCTCCCGCCATGCAGGCGGCAGTGATTCGCGAGTGGCACCTGCTGGACCCCCCCAAGGATGATCAGGAGCAAGGCGCAGCCCCTGATAGCAGCGCAGCAGCCACTGAGCCAGCAGCGGCAAGCAGCGGTGGCAGCAGTGCTGCACAAGGGAACACACAAGAGGAATCGTGAAGGCGGCAGCAAGGCTGTGAGCCCTGAGCCAATGGCTGTGTTGAATCAGGCTGCTAGTGAATTACTGGCCGTATACTGGCTGTCATTGACAAGTCCGCTGGTTGCACCAGGGGACAAGTTCAATATGGGAAGGAAGCTGTAGTAGGAGGTGATGTAGCATTTGCTTGTTTGTTGCCTTCTGTTTGCTGTATTCCCACCTCTAGCTGACTTGACGTGACGGCCCTATGGCATGCATTCCGGTGTTCTTGCCGGTACAAGGCAACTTGCTTGCTTCATTGCAATTGGGTATGTCACCACCCGGATATACCCCAGGTGGGCCTACAATAAAAACAAGAAAAATCTCAAAGTTAGAATGCAACGGAATGCTTGACTAGAAAGGAGTTGGGGTACAAATAGGAAACCCTAACATGTTTGTACTCACTAAGGAGCACCTCACTACAGCCTATCACAAATATCAACATTTGACACACCCCCATAGGCTAAGTGAGGGGCATCAAAACAAGCAAGGCAGACAAACGGTCACAAGACCAGTCAAGACAAGAAGCAAAGCAAGCTCAGGGTGGATCTCAAGGACACCACACAAATTCCGAGCACAAGCAAGCGGCCACAAGGCCAGTTCAAGAGGTCACTAGGATATATATAGGAAAACACAACAAGCAGAGCAAGCAACAAGACTACAGCAACCGAGGGCCTACCTCAACAAGCCCCAACTGCACACTGAACCTGTGGTGGTCACCAAGCGCCAGGGCCTTGGTGAAGACGCCTGCAGTGTTGGCCTCTGAGGCCACAAAGTCCAGGCGTGCCTGGCCGCGTCGCTGCAGCTCTCGCAGGAGGAAGTACCTCACGTCAATATGCTTCACTCTGCTCTCCAGTCGAGGCTCTCGACAGAGGAGTATCATGGCCTTGTTGTCAGCGTACAAGGTCGGTGCAGAGCGAGGCCGCTCACCAAGGTCGACGAGCAAGAAGGTCAACCAGCGAAGCTCCTGTGCCGCCATG